ATGGGAGAGGACAGGAAGGGAGAGGCAGGTTTATGTTGTGTCATCGAAGAATCGTTTATTTCAGTTCAACTTTAAAGCCAAACTGAACTTATGAAACTTTTTCCCAAGCAGTGCTTCTCATTGGTCAGTGTGGTCAGGTGACCAATGTTTTGGCTGACTTCATTTTATCACGGGAATTAGCCCTTAAACTAGCAGTAAGAGCCCCGGAGGGGGGGGTGACCCTAAGTCAGACGTGTGATAATTCTAGTCTGGAGGTGGAGGTCACCAGATGCAAAGCTTACCTTGAAGCCGAAGTAGTTGTAAGAGAAGTCTCGGTCATAGATGATGGAGGAGTTGAGGCGCTGGAGAAGACAGAGAATGGCGGTCACACTATGAACGTACACAATACACGGCTTTCACGTGACTCCAGAAGACATTGAATGGTATATGATCACATGAAGGATGTCCCGCCCCATTACTGAGACTCTGAAACTGGTACAAGATGCTGCCTGACATGACATGGATGGAGAGGATCTGAGGGGCCACTAGATGGCAGCACAACATGGCTCCTCCGAATACTCACATCTTTATTAGCCAGGAAAATGTCCAGAGTTTCTTTAGATACCATCGGGGAGTGAAGGCCATTCAGGGGGTTCACATAGTTATAGAGATCTTCCATCACGTCTGGGGGGAGAGAGAGAGAGAGAGAGAGAGAGAAGTAAATCCTCACAGAGCCGGGGAATAGAGACATTGTTCAGGACAAACCTCATCTAACAGGAGATGAAAAATACCCATCAACATAGAATCCCGGAGGAAGCCATTGCTGCCATGTCTCTGCCACTGCAAAGTCTGAGCAAAGCACTATGGGTAGAGGAGGAGCAATGTTCCTGAGGAACCCTCCCCAGAGGTCTGCTGAGAAACAGACTGCGCACCCCCCCCCCTCAAAGGTCCCTCCCCAGTGACCTCTTCACCACCCTCCTCTGTGGTCCCTCCCACCAATCCCTCCACTGCTCTATGGTCCCTCCCCCCAACTCCTCCCCCACTGCTGCCTGCTCACTGACCCCTCCCCCAACATTCGGTGATCAGCCCCACAAATTGTGGTTCCACCCACTGACCAGTGATCCCTCCCACCTCCACTGCTCTATGGTCCCTCCTGCCAACTCCTCCCCCACTGCTCTGTGCCCTCTCCTACACCCCCTCTGTGGTCCCGCCCACAGATCCCTACCACACTGCTCTGTGGTGCGTCCAACTGATCTCTCCCCCACTGCTCCGAGGTTCCTCCCACTGACACTTCCCCCACTACTCAGGTTCCTCAAACTGATTCCTCCCCAACTGTTCCATGAACCTCCTACCAACTCCCCCCCACTCGTAGTCCCTCCCACTGCTGTGGTCCCTCTCAGATCCCGCCCCCACTGCTCTGTGGTCCCTCTCAGATCCCGCCCCCACTGCTCTGTGGTCCCTCTCAGATCCCGCCCCCACTGCTCTGTGGTCCCTCTCAGATCCCGCCCCCACTGCTCTGTGGTCCCTCTCAGATCCCGCCCCCACTGCTCTGTGGTCCCTCTCAGATCCCGCCCCCACTGCTCTGTGGTCCCTCTCAGATCCCGCCCCCACTGCTCTGTGGTCCCTCTCAGATCCCGCCCCCACTGCTCTGTGGTCCCTCTCAGATCCCGCCCCCACTGCTCTGTGGTCCCTCTCAGATCCCGCCCCCACTGCTCTGTGGTCCCTCTCAGATCCCGCCCCCACTGCTCTGTGGTCCCTCTCAGATCCCGCCCCCACTGCTCTGTGGTCCCTCTCAGATCCCGCCCCCACTGCTCTGTGGTCCCTCTTCTCAGATCCCGCCCCCTCTGACATTTTTAAAAGCTTCAACCAAGACAAGCCAGAACAGCTGTGTTTTTAGCAAAGCCCATAATTGGCTTCCATAGAGGTTTCGTGGATCTGCCTCTGTCCTAAAACAAATGCACAGGCCAGGCGTGAGACCTTCACTGGGTGCATGCTTGTTTTGGGTGAGCAGTGGAGTCCTGGCAGAGTCAGAAATGGCCGTTCTGATATGTAAACGTCAATTTCTGGATGCAGAGGCCGGAAACATTTGCACAATCTACACACCCACCACTGAATATCTTCTTGGTCTCTTTGTGCAGATTGGAGACGGCGATCCGGGCAGCCAAGATGGCATAATCCGGGTGTTTGGTGGTCAGGGTGGCCGCTGTCTCTGCCGCCAAAGTATCCAGCTCCACGGTGGTGACCCCGCTGTACAATCCTTGGATCACCTTCATTGTGATCTGAGCCTAAAACATAACGAAGGAACATCAGAGTGGAAGAAACACCGACACAGGGGGAAGAAATGGCTGAACATCGAGGATTACATCTACCTCAGGACAGGAAACCATGAATGAGAACTTCCTCTATAACCAGGAATGATAAACCTTCATCCTGACCCAGGTCACCCCGGCATTCTAAACAGGGAAACGTATCAAGACCTCCAGGGTATGCTATGGAATACTTCTGAGGGGAATGGATGGGGTGTGTGCGTCATGCTGGGTGCCCGGGTTCCTTCCACAGATCTCGACATCACTATTGTGGCCTGCGGTGCTATAGGGGTCATCAGGAGGAAGATCGGACACACCCAGAGTGTTCCCGGGGAAGATTATCCTCATCACACCCTACATCACTATTGTGGCCTGTACTATTATAGGGGTCATCAGGGGGACCATTGGACATGCCTAGAGAGTGTTCCTGGGGAAGACTATCCTCATCACACCCTACATCACTATTGTGTCCTGTACTATTATAGGGGTCATCAGGGGGACCATTAGACATGCCTAGAGAGTGTTCCTGGGGAAGACTATCCCCATCACACCCTACATCCCTATTGTGTCCTGTACTATTATAGGGGTCATCAGGGGGACCATTAGACATGCCTAGAGAGTGTTCCCCCCAGAGAAGGACTATCCTCATCACCCCCTACATCACTATTGTGGCCTGTACTATTATAGGGGTCATCAGGGGGACCATTGGACATGCCTAGAGAGTGTTCCTGGGGAAGACTATCCTCATCACACCCTACATCACTATTGTGTCCTGTACTATTATAGGGGTCATCAGGGGGACCATTAGACATGCCTAGAGAGTGTTCCCCCCAGAGAAGGACTATCCTCATCACCCCCTACATCACTATTGTGTCCTGTACTATTATAGGGGTCATCAGGGGGACCATTAGACATGCCTAGAGAGTGTTCCCCCCGGAGACTGACTATCCTCATCACCCCCTGCACAGGCAGTAAGAGGCCTATTCTTGTACAGGGTGGCACCCCGAGTCCTGTAAGGGTAGTAGAACGGCGACATGAAATATAACCCGTCTGACTTCACACAAACTTACCGGATCCACGAACTCCGGGTTGAGTCCATAACACAACTTCTGGATGCGGGACGTGATCTTGTCAAACATGACACGCTCCTGGCGGCCATCTGTATGGATTAACATTACACCCATTATCCACAAGCCGGAGTGGTGGCGGGACAAACAGACAGGCCGGAGCGCCGGCGGGACAAACACAGACAGGCCGGAGCGGCGGCGGGACAAACACAGACAGGCCGGAGCGGCGGCGGGACAAACGCACAAGCCGGACAGGGCGCTGTGACTTTTCTAGAGTAAGCCCCCTGCTGCCGCCATGTCTGGTCTTGTCACAGTGGCAATGCATAGCAGCTTTCTGATTGGTCTGCGGTACATGTCATTGTTGGGTAGCAAGTTTTCCCGCTTCATTGCTCTTCTGGTAGCCGGGTGCCAGAGGTGTCGTTACTTCCTGCGCATCTTCCATGTGGAATTTCTCCAAAATTTCTGCAATTTTCTGACGTTGGCTGAGGAGATAACTTCGATCTTCTTCCATCTTAATTCCCTGATGGTGACGGATGTTCCCGAGCCCTTTCACTTCAGTTTTGTTTTAGTTTGTGAAATATTTCACTATAGTGCCCTTCTTCACAAGTGATGTCATCACCATAAATGAGACACCAGACACCATTGTCTGTCTTCTGGATTCCTGGAATAAGGAGCGGGATCTGCTTTGCTTCTTGTGAATTCCTCTTTCCCGAGTGTTTCATTCACTGTCTCATTCCACATTCTTGCAGATTCCTGGAGTCCGTACAGCAGATGCTTTTATGGAGGTTGTGTCCTTGCTCCGCCCCCGGTGGTTGCTCATTGTTCCTGGTGACTGGTTCTCATCTCCCCGGGATCATTGTTCCTGGTGACGGGTTCTCATCTCCCCGGGATCATTGTTCCTGGTGAGGGGTTCTCATCTCCCGGAATCATTGTTCCTGGTAACGGGTTCTCATAGAAATAAAGGCTGCAACATATGGTCACTGTCAGTCTTTGGGTGGAGGATTTTATATCCCTTGATTTGTTCCCTATAACCCACCAGAAAACCTTCTATAGCCGGGTTCTCCGACTCGGATCTCTTCTACTCTGGAATATAGATGTAAGCTTTACATCCAAACACTCTGATGTGCCCCAGGCTCGGCTTCCATCCATGACACGTCACATGGTGTGCTTCCATCCATGACACGTCACATGGTGTGCTTCCATCCATGACACACGCCACATGGGGTGCTTTCAATGGCTTCTGATGGTAGTCTGTTCTGTAGGTATGTTGCAGTCGGTACTTCTTAGGTAGGTTGGCGTCTGACAGCATCCGGCCATTTCTATAAGAGTGAGATGTTTCCATTCTGCTCCATCGTGTTAAGGAGTGTACAGGGCGGGGGTCTGGTGTACTATACACCTTGTGTCTTCAGATATGATTCCACTTCCTTACTGATGTATTCCCCTCCGTGGTGGGTCTGTATAATTCCTGGTTTCCGGTGGAATTTGTTGCTGGGCATGGCTACAGACTCTTGAAGGGTCTCTGATGTTTCATTCTTGTGCTTCAGAGAAGTTCTTGTGTTCCTGGATTATTCATCAATGAAAGCCAGTAGATATCTGTTCCCGCCTGATGTGGGAGCTTTCATTGGTTCGCACACATCACCGTGTATGAGCTCCATGGGGTGGGTGGTCTTTCTTTGGGTGGCTTGTGGAAGTGGGGTACGCGTGGCCTTTGCATGTCATGAACATTTGGCAGGGCAGTACAGTTCTATCTTCTGATAAGTCTCTCTTTATAATGTCTTTTTATGTCTTCTGGGTTTCGGTGCCCTAGTGGTCTGTGCCATTAGGTGGAGACATTTGTGGCGTGGATTATGACCGGCTGTCCTGACTTGTTCCAGTGATGAGTCTGTTTTCCTTCTGCAAGGATTGGCTTTTGTTTCGGCTTTTACATTCATCACCTCGGAAATTGAACTGCGAGACCGTTATCAGTGAAGGGTTGTCACAGATAGAAGGCTTCCTTCTAGGTCTGGGACATACAATATATGTCACGAGGATACTCTGCTTGTCCCCCGACGGTGTGATGCAGTTCAAGAATCCTCGACCGTTGCCTTCCGCAGTAATACTTTTCCCGTTTGCTGGGAACACTTTGTGCTTCGCACTGAAATCAATTGCTGTGAAGAAGGTCTCATCACTGGTCATGTGACTTGTAGCGCCTTAGTCAAGGCACCGTCCGTGCGGTAAACTGTTCTTAAGCAAAACGAATGGCAAACGCATAATAAGCTTTAAAGGAGAACTATGAGGAGGGGGAGGGGCTTTTCACTCACCTCATAGTTCTAGCCGACCTGTGACAATGAGACTGTCACAGGTCGGCTCAGTAGATCGGGAGGTGAGGGAACACATAGCGGCGTTCGCTCACCTCTCAATCCTGTCATGGCTCTCTGCCGTGACAGGGGAGGGGCTGGATTCTCCCTCCCCGCTCCGATAGCGCTGACTGGCGGAATGGACGGGGAGGGTACAGCTGGCTCTGCCTTTAGATAGGCAGAGCCAGCTGTCAGTCACGCAGCTGGGTGGATCCCGGCACAATTGTCGGGATCCGCTTCAGCGTCTCAGTATACCGCGAGCAATACTGCGGCGCCTCAGTACTGAGCCTAGGGTGACGGGAGGACGCTAGTTTGTGTCCTCCCGTTACCCTAAGGAGAACTATGGGGAAAAGACTAAACCCCATAGTTCTCCTTTAAAGCGCGGTGCACATGGAAGCACTTTATATAGGACAACAGCAAAAAGTTTCCCAGCACACTCACCAGCCAGAATGTAAAAAAAAACAAAAACCTGTCTAACCGCTAAGGTTAAAAACAGAGCTTTAGTTACACGTCTCCTGCAGAATATATGAAAACCTTTGCTCAGCTTTCCAGATTGAACTGTCCTTTGTCAGGTGACCAGTCTTTGTACAGCGAAAACACGCTCTGCTTTCATTGTTTTGCGCTCTCATGCACCTTGAGGGCTTTCTTGTTTTCTTCACTGTGCATATTTTCTTTCCTTCTGTCATACCCGTCAAATAATTTCCCTTTGGCGTATTCAAGTGATAGTTCCTGCTCAGGTCTGGTTTCTAGAGCATTAATAAGAGCATTGTATGACTATGGGAGGCTGCATAGCAGTAATACCACCATGTGGTTGTCTTTCATGTGCTCTCCAATTGCATGTAGTTGGTTCTATGATTTCCAGCATGACACTCACATGTTCTATGATTTCCAGCATGACACTCACATGTTCTATGATTTCCAGCATGACACTCACATGTTCTATGATTTCCAGCATGACACTCACATGTTCTATGATTTCCTGACCTCATCCTATGTAGCTTGTGTAGCAGATATAGATTACTGTTCAGCAGGTTCTGTAATGCCGTCCTCATACCTCCTCTCTGTATTCTCTCCTCTGATGTGGATGAGCTGGTCGTCTACCACTAGCAGACTTATAATTGCCGGTTCTTCTTGTCCCGTTCCTCCGCGGGTCCATTACTGGCTCTGTCTGTACTCCGTACTGGCCACAAATCATCGGTGCTTAGCAGCAGTTTCATATCTCAACTGCTCGCCATCTTTCAGCAGCTTGGATGCCGCTCTTGTTGACTCGCAGTGTTCTGTTCAGTGTCCGGGCCCATCACATGATAGTTGTGTGTAGATGAAGCTCTGAGATCTTGAGGAACGCTGAATTGAGTTTTACTTGCTTAGGAGAATATTACATCAGCATACAGCATTGTGACGAGAAAACACACACACACGTATATATATATATATATATATATATTATACACACATACACACATGAATACATACACGCATGAATACATACACACACGCACTTCCTGTGTATCATAGATAAGCATGCACATAGACTAACACTGCACTACAGCGCCATCTACAGCTCAAAAGATAAATTAGTCAGTAATACAATCAGTACATTAGATTGTGTTGGTGCATTTCCAACATAGGACAGTATTGGGGTGATCTATCCAGTCTGTGCTGTATTATGGGAGTGTCTAAGACAGTATTGGGGTGATCTATCCGGCCTGTGCTGTATTATGGGGTGTATAGGACAGTATTGGGGGGATCTATCCGGTCTGTGCTGTATTATGGGGTGTATATGAAAGTATTGGGGTGATATATCCGGTCTGTGCTGTATTATGGGGTGTATAGGACAGTATTGGGGTGGTACGATATATGCGGTCTGTGCTGTATTATGGGGTGTATAGGACAGTATTGGGGTGATATATCCGGTCTGTGCTGTATTATGGGGTGTATAGGACAGTATTGGGGCAATACATCAGGTCTGTACTGTATTATGGGGTGTATAGGACAGTATTGGGGTGATACATCCAGTCTGTGCTGTATTATGGGGGTATAGGACAGTATTGGGGTGATATATCCGGTCTGTGCTGTATTATGGGGTGTATAGGACAGTATTGGGGTGATACATCCAGTCTGTGCTGTATTATGGGGGGATAGGACAGAATTGGGGTGATATATCCGGTCTGTGCTGTATTATGGGGTGTATAGGACAGTATTGGGGTGATACATCCAGTCTGTGCTGTATTATGGGGGTATAGGACAGTATTGGGGGGATATATCCGGTCTGTGCTGTATTATGGGGTGTATAGGACAGTATTGGGGGGATATATCCGGTCTGTGCTGTATTATGGGGTGTATAGGACAGTATTGGGGGGATATATCCGGTCTGTGCTGTATTATGGGGTGTATAGGACAGTATTGGGGGGATATATCCGGTCTGTGCTGTATTATGGGGTGTATAGGACAGTATTGGGGGGATATATCCGGTCTGTGCTGTATTATGGGGTGTATAGGACAGTATTGGGGGGATATATCCGGTCTGTGCTGTATTATGGGGTGTATAGGACAGTATTGGGGGGATATATCCGGTCTGTGCTGTATTATGGGGTGTATAGGACAGTATTGGGGGGATATATCCGGTCTGTGCTGTATTATGGGGTGTATAGGACAGTATTGGGGGGATCTATCCGGTCTGTGCTGTATTATGGGGTGTATAGGACAGTATTGGGGTGATCTATCCGGTCTGTGCTGTATTATGGGGGTATAGGACAGTATTGGGGTGATCTATCCGGTCTGTGCTGTATTATGGGGTGTATAGGACAGTATTGGGGTGATCTATGCGGTCTGTGCTGTATTATGGGGGTATAGGACAGTATTGGGGTGATCTATCCGGTCTGTGCTGTATTATGGGGTGTATAGGACAGTATTGGGGTGATCTATGCGGTCTGTGCTGTATTATGGGGGTATAGGACAGTATTGGGGTGATCTATCCGGTCTGTGCTGTATTATGGGGTGTATAGGACAGTATTGGGGTGATCTATGCGGTCTGTGCTGTATTATGGGGGTATAGGACAGTATTGGGGTGATGTATCCGGTCTGTTCTGTATTATGGGGTGTATAGGACAGTATTGGGGTGATCTATGCGGTCTGTGCTGTATTATGGGGTGTATAGGGCAGTATTAGGGTGATATATCAGGTCTGTGCTGTATTATGGGGCGTATAGGACAGTATTGGGGGATCTATCCGGTCTGTGCTGTA